CCTCCTTAAAAATGATCCTAAAAAGTTTCAGTGGTCAGCTCAAGCACACGAATCTTTTTGCAACGCAAAAGACGTCTTATCCAAAGTCACTATGCTATCCCATATCAACCCCGAAGCATCGCTTATTTTGTGCACAGATGCCTCCCAAGTAGCTGTAGGGGCAGTATTACAACAAAAGATGAAGGGCGAAGTCACCCCACTCGCATTCTTTTCTAAGAAGTTGGAACCGGTTCAGACACGATACAGCACTTTTGGGAGAGAATTGTTGGCCATATATCTTGCAGTGAAGCATTTCAGTTACTTACTACAGGGCCGGCATTTCACTATTTTTACTGACCACAAGCCCCTGTGTCATGCTTTCACTACTTCACTCGATAAACACTCCCCTAGAGAAGCCAGATAGTTGGATTATATCTCCCAATTTTCAACCGACATCCAGTACATCAAAGGGGATGCGAACGTGGTAGCCGATTCTCTTTCAAGAAGTGACATTAACCAGCTTCAAACTTCGGTAGACATCAGTCTTGATCGTATGGCTCAATTACAAAGAGATGACGTTGAACTCCAAACCTGCCGCAGAAACTCTTCCTTACAGCTCAAAGATGTGCCTATCCCCTTATCAGATGCAACCATAGTCTGCGATGTATCTACCGGCACTAATCGTCCATTTGTGCCTCTCAGTTGCCGAAAAGCATTGTTCGAACATTTACATTCGCTTTCTCACCCTGGAGTACGCGCCACGGTCAGACTGATCAGCGAACGCTTCGCGTGCTACACGGAGTGTGGCGACTTGAACTTCCGCACATTTGTGCAAAGTTCTATGTCGAAAACAGACAGACAGACAGACAGAACGCTTCGTGTGGCCTAAAATGAACTCTGACATTCGGAGATGGGCACGAGAATGTCTCCAATGCCAATGCTCCAAAGTAAACCGCCACACTATTACAACCCCGAAGACGTTTGAATTATCCGAAAAGAGATTTCAGCATATCCATATAGATATCGTGGGACCATTGCCAACATCAAGAGGATATACACATATCCTGACAGCGATTAATAGATTTACTCGTTGGGCTTTGCATGCCCCTTAAACGACATATCTGCTGGAAACGTTGCCTTGGTTTTTCTCGACCGTTGGGTGTCAAACTACGGTGTACCAACTACTATTACATCCGACCGCGGTCCTCAATTCCAATCGACACTCTTTCGCGAACTGACAAGACTTCTGGGAGTGAAACATATCTCCACAACAGCCTATCATCCGGCAGCGAATGGTCTAGTGGAAAGATTCCACAGACGTGAACATTGCCGACTTCACCAACCGATTAACTAGACAAATGCTTCAACCAACAGCTCCTCGACAATCTCCCCGACGAGATCAGATCAACAAACATCTACAAACTTCCAAATTCGTCTACATTCGAGTCGACGCCATCAGAAAAGGATTGCAACCTCCATACGAAGGACCCTTTCAAGTTATTAAACGTTGAGACAAACACTTTACAGTGAACAAGAAAGGAAAACGAGAGACTATTTCCATTGATCGAATCAAACCCGCATACACCGACAACGACTTCGAATCTACATCGGCAGCTGCACAATCAAATAATCAAACATCCGATTCCACCCCACCGGCACCAAGTCTTATCCTCCCTCCATATCAAACACGTAGTGGTCGGCAAATCAGTAAACCGGCTCGCTACGTTCATTTTGAGGACTAATAAAAAAATATATATAATTACAAACTATTATTATCTTTTTCGTTTAGACATTATTATCATGACCGTTAGTATTTCGTCGTGAACTTTGATGTTACTATCACTATTATTTATTTATATGTACCTCACCTACAAAACAGGTATCGTCCATTTCAGAAACTATTGATCTTTAATCCATATTTTTTAATGTTTTCTTTCCCCTCCTTAATTACTGTCTATTTACATATTTTTCTTTATACATTAAAAATCTATGTTCAGGGTTAGTGCAAATTTAAGTGACATGACTTTCTATTTCAATTTTTATTGCTGAACTCATTGTATATGCTTTCAGACTTTACATGGTTCACATACCTTCTCGCGTTTATGCATGTAATATATCCCTATTTTTATCCAAAAATTGTTATTACTATTATTATTTACTTAACAGTTTTACTTATCATTTTCCAGTGGGCTCTCCGGACCTCTAGGGGGGGAGCCGTGTGGAGTACGTAACAATGTGATTGTACACTTTTTGGTTATTTGTATGAATATTCGGGATATTGTACATAATTTTTGTTTAAAACGCTTCTTGTTGAAATATATACAACTTCCGTGTACAATTGAAAAATACACTCTGCTGTTGGAGACTTCATCTTCTCCCTGGTCACTTCTGCTTACTTGCTCTACTCACACCGTGTTGTATACTTCGGATTTATTGTAGGAGTCTACTACTCTCAACCGAAGACATTTCTACAACCGGAACACAGCAGCTACAGCAGACGCAACCCAATCAATTAACGTACCCGTGGATTATATACATAATTTGTAGCAGAGGACTTAGACTTTATATCCAAGTAATCCTTTTTGTTGATACAACTCGTCACTGCATTTTTGGTAATATATTGTTATTTAACACTCCATTGACTTGGATTATTATTCTTATATTTATAATGTTAGTGAACTCTAGTATAAGTCCCCTACAGATGCATCAACCGAGATGCTAAGCGGAAGTTTGGTGTCTACGTGAACTAACATGGTTGCGTCTGCAATCGCTGATTTAATTTTCTAGAACTCTTCCCTAGCCTCTTGTGTCATGCTGAAGGTTTTGCATTTACCCTTCAGAAGGTCTGTGAGTGCATGTAAAATATGTGCACATTGAGGAACGAAACGTCGGTAATAACTTACCATGCCTAGGAATGTGCGCGAAGATATCATGGACGTAGGCTCTGGGAAGTTTTGTATGGCTAGTACCTTCTCAGGTAACAGTCGAATGCCATGTTCGTTAACGACATGTTCCAGAAAATTCAACGAATGTACTCCAATCTGGCATTTTGACATGTTAGGTGTCAAACCGTGTGTTGCCAATCGCTCAAAAATTATCTGCAAATGCCTACGGTGAGTAGCTTCATCAGGGCTAGCCACGAGAATATCGTCCAGGTAGGCATACGCGCAATCCAATCCGCGCAAAACATGTGTGAAACGCTGGAATGTTTGTGCGGCGTTGCGGAGACCAAACGGCATGCGGAGGAATTCGAAGTGACCTAAAGGAGTGATGACTGCCGTTTTAGGAATATCATCAGATCCCAGTTCATCCTGAAGATATTCCTAAAACGGCAGTCATCACTCCTTTAGGTCACTTCGAATTCCTCCGCATGCCGTTTGGTCTCCGCAACGCCGCACAAACATTCCAGCGTTTCACACATGTTTTGCGCGGATTGGATTGCGCGTATGCCTACCTGGACGATATTCTCGTGGCTAGCCCTGATGAAGCTACTCACCGTAGGCATTTGCAGATAGTTTTTGAGCGATTGGCAACACACGGTTTGACACCTAACATGTCAAAATGCCAGATTGGAGTACATTCGTTGAATTTTCTGGAACATGTCGTTAACGAACATGGCATTCGACTGTTACCTGAGAAGGTACTAGCCATACAAAACTTCCCAGAGCCTACGTCCATGATATCTTCGCGCACATTCCTAGGCATGGTAAGTTATTACCGACGTTTCGTTCCTCAATGTGCACATATTTTACATGCACTCACAGACCTTCTGAAGGGTAAATGCAAAACCTTCAGCATGACACAAGAGTCTAGGGAAGAGTTCTAGAAAATTAAATCAGCGATTGCAGACGCTACCATGTGGTTTAGTTTGGTTTCTTGTGAGTGTATGCGTCTAATGGCAAACTTAGCCCCTATATGATTGAACCATGCAGCTGGACGGTGTCCAGAAGGCGGGGAGTTGCAGCGTTATAGCCATCTCTGACGCAGCAATCTTGCACACAAGACAAAATATTAACAAGGTGGTAAAAACCAATATAAGTACAAACAAAACAAATCCTTATAACCATGTGTGAAAAAAATTAACAAAATAGACGGCATGTAAAATGAATTATTAACACTTTAAGCTACTATGGCGGAAAACGGAGAAAAGGGGCTCACGAATTGTAAGAGTTCTACTACGGTTCAGAGTGGACCTATACTCTAAACACCCTTACAAACTTCTTCACCGTTTCGCGACCTTAGCAGTACACTACTCGAGGCGCAAATACTGACAAACTGTATCGCGGTAAAAAGACTTGAGGTGACGAGATTACCTGGGAGAATTATATTTTATTCGGCGAAATATGAAATTCAAGAAATAAAGAAGTCGTACAACTTATCTGCAGATGTTGCTGGAGGTAGGCTCGGAGAGTGTGCAGAAAGAGAGCACAAGAGAGCGAACCAATGAACGTACAGAAGAGTCACAACTCAAAAGATAAAAGTGTTTCAAACTAGGTGAGTGAGTTTAAACAAAAGTTCGAGGGTACAATGTGCACTACAAACCCAACGAACACAGTATTCGACGCGAAGCGACTGATCGGTCGACGATTTGATGACTCTTCAGTTCAGAGTGATATGAAGCACTGGCCCTTTGGCGTTATTAATGAGGGTGGTAAGCCTGAGATCCGTGTTGAATACAAGGGTGAGACGAAGACATTCTTCCCTGAGGAGATCTCATCGATGGTGTTGACGAAGATGAAGGAAGTGGCTGAAGCGTATTTGGGTAGAACGGTGACTGATGCAGTGGTGACAGTTCCCGCCTACTTCAACGACAGTCAACGTCAAGCTACTAAGGATGCGGGTGCGATCGCTGGTCTGAATGTGTTGAGAATCATCAACGAGCCTACTGCTGCTGCTATCGCGTATGGTCTGGACAAGAAGGTTGGTGGTGAGCGTAATGTGTTGATATTCGATTTGGGTGGTGGTACTTTTGATGTGTCTATCTTGACAATTGAAGATGGTATATTCGAGGTGAAGTCTACGTTGTCTCGTGTTATATTTTCCGCGACTAATTTTTTTTCGTCTTTCATTGGCTAGAATGGTGGCGGTCAATTGGAGTTTGAATTGTCCTTGGGTGCGTGCTGTCGGGTGCTGTATTTGCGTGGTTGTGTTTGCGTCGTTTGCCAGCATATGTGATTACTGTAAACGTGTATGAAACTATTGTAACGCTTTGTTTTTTTTTGTTTGTGCATGTACTAGGCATTATTTGTCGTACAATTCGTTGTTTGGTCTATTGGTTGCTTGCGATGTCAACGAACCGGTGGGTTCTTGTGTTTTTCTGTAATTTAGGTTATACGTGCGGCATTTTCTTGATGGTTATCGATCATCCCTGTATTTCAATGTTGTTTTTTTACGATTTATGTTGGAATAGTTGTGACATAGATGGATCCTAATTGATAACTTTATTTTAGTCCGTTGCAGGTAGTCAATTCGAGTGACAGGAGCACAGATTTAAGTGGAATTTTTGCTGAATACATACTTGGAAAGCGTTTCTTCAGCTGGGATGAATTTGAGAAGTCATTAGCAGAATTTCAAAAAGTGAGGAAGTCATATAATGCTAACAGTGTAGTTATCCTACACTCACTATGTTCATAATTGCAGCAAAACGATGCCGGATGCCAGGTTTAAGTACGCTTATGTTGGTTTTAAATGCACTTTTGGAGTGAATCGTACAAGACCTGGATTGAAATTGAAAAACAAGTCGTAAGAAGAAGTGTAATATGATTTCATGAATATTGCAGGTCTAAATGTTGCAATTGCTCGTCTTCATTTCGCGTGGTTTTGCATCATAGTGAATACATAATTGCTTCCCACAATATGGTGCATAACCATCCATGCAGCAGGGTGTACATGCAGAATGACCCATGGTATAGACGACTAACAGTTGAAGAGAAAGAAAATATTGAACCACTTCTTCAGCAATCCCACTCATCCGATGAAATAATAATGCATGTTAAGGAGAAGTACAACAAGGATATAACTCGCATTGACGTTAAAAATATGAAAGCCGCAGTGAATAAAGGTAACGTTGACGTACTTGTTACATACTTAAGGTATTTCGAGTCGTCGTGACATTTTTGAATTCCTAAAATCCCGTGGGAAGTTAATGGAGTATTATTCCGATGAACCGATCAGGAATTCACTAACAAGAATTTGTTTTGCAACTTATGAGCAAATGGAATTGTATAAACAGTTCCCTGAAGTTGTTGGTATCGATTCGACGTATAATACAAATAAAGGGAAGTAAGTTTACCAATTCATTAATCAACGTGCAGGTATTCTTTGTTCCAGCTACTTGTGACGGATAATTTTGGTCGTGGACGACCAGTTTTATTTGCGTGGACTAGAAAAGAATTCAAACGAGATGTAGTTTGGATATTAGACTGTTTCCGGCAAATAATGGAAGACACCTCGAAAACAGAATCCTTCATTATGGATTGTGCGCAAGCTGAAATAGCAGCCGTCAAGTTAACGCACAGACAAGCGCACATTGTTTTGTGTTCTTTTCATGTTTGCCGAGCTTTCTGTCGGAAAGTAAGTTTTTCAAAGCATACTTTACATTTTATTCGTAGACAAGAAATCCCATTGTGAAGAACTACTTATGCCGTCTAGTGCAGTGTAAAAGGAGATCAGAGTAATGCCTCTATTGTTCTCATTTTGCAGATTTAATTTCTACTTCAGAGTTATTAGCAGATTGGACGCTAATGTCAGTCAATACCTACAACGTCGTTGGATGCATCGACGAGAATTGTGGGCGGCCTGTTTCAGAGATAACGTGCTGACTTTTGGGAACGATACAAATAATCGTGTCGAGAGTTCCCACAAGCAGATGAAACGGTTTTTGCAAAGATCTGATAGTCTGCATAAAAGTATGCTAAAGGTGTATAAATGGCATAAACGAAGTTTTTCAATAATACAGCAGGAGGCGAATATTGCTCAATCACGATGCTTCACGTATCCCTGTTCACAAAGTTTAATCCCAATTATACGGTTGCTTACACCATACGCCGCGAGGAAGGTAATACGTGAATACCAATTGCGACGATGGGCTACTGTTGAGTTCGAATCCGTTGATTATGTATTTTTCAAAGAAAATGGGAAAACAGTGCAGGTTGATCTGAGTGCTTGCACCTGCACGTGCTTTACATTTCAGACCTGTCGGTACCCCTGCCGACACTTGCTTTTGGTCCACTTAAGAAAGCCGTATTTCACAGGTATATTTGCGTTTTTATGACTACGTTTTTAATGTATAATGTAATGTAATAATCAGTTCATAGTTATCTTAACTTTTTTTGTTCCACCTTTTGTAGTTAACCATGTGATGCATAATTGTAAACAATGGACGTGGTCACGCAACTTGTTCGCATCTCAAAGTACGTCAGCAGTTATCCCTCGAAATCGAAGTAACATATACGATACCAAAAAGAAGATTATCAATGCGGGTATGGACAGAATTAATGACAAATTTGGAGAAGTGTTTGCCAATGCTTATGCAGACGGAGTAATCGCAGGAATCAATCGTGTTCTTAATATGTAAATAAACTAAATTTTTGTCATAATGAAAATAAAATTTTCATGTAAATTTTGTTGTCTTTCAATTCATGTGTTCACTTTGTGAGCACGGCATGCTAGACCGGTGCTCTCTAGGACTTTCACTACTAACAATACGTAAGTGTAATTGTGTAGGAACGATGTCGGTCAGCATACGTGTTAAATTATAAGTATTTCAGTTAGCTAACGTGCATAAGTATCATAGTCATATACAAGTCTTTAGGGACAATAGTAGGCATACCTTAGGCACTGCATTCGAGTCCCAGTTCTTATACGGTTACGTGTATTCGAAAGTATTGCATTACTAATGTTTCACTTAAAGCGTGATGTCAATCCATATGACTAAGGCTGTTGACATGTAGCGTAAATTCAACTCTACACCAGACGAATTATTGAATTCGTTGAGCTTTAACAATCGTATTTAGATTTAGCTTACACTAAAATATGCCACCAATTACTTCGTCAGTTCTTATTAATAAGTCATGTCTGCACCTAGTCATCATGACAAATACATCTAAACTCAGATATAATAAGAAAGGTCTGGTAAGCAGGATATTAAATGTATTTAATGAAAAAATAATAACAAGCAAATGTGTTTACGCAGTCGATTGTCGGAATAATTTGTGCAATGTCGAATCTCTGTGACTGGGGTGATTGACGTTACCAGATATCTACAAATAAGTAAACAAAGTGTTTTTTAAATAGCTGAAGTAAGGAAGAAGTAATATTAAAGGTAAACGATTTATATCTGCCTACCTTTGCTGAAAATGGTTTATTCTCCTTTCTCATTCTTTGGTAATGACATCATTATTCTGGGGTTTTCACTGCAACACACATTATTCCTCTTCTAAAGGATAGCAGCAAGCATATAGTAATAATTTCAAATTTCGTTTAAACCAATGTTTACAATGAATGCATGTCATTTCTACAGGCGCAATAAGTTATGTTATAAACTGCAATCGTGAAGTATCATGAATTATAAGAGTTAAATTGTAAACCCTTAATAATGAACACCGTACATTTGGCTAAGTGCTATGTCGTTGGAATGTGAGTATACATCTGCAATGTTTAATGCCAACCATATTGGTGTAAGGATAGAAAATATGATGTTTTCTATGAAAATACAGCTTTGTTCCAACACTGCTGTTGTTGTGTTTCTAATAAAAGCAAATAGACTGTAAGCATAAAGGCATATCCAGTTAACATAAAATGCAGTGTAATAGTGCACAAATGAAAAGACCATAGTGAAGTAGATAAGTGATACTTCAGTGAGAGGTAAATTGAAAGATCTGCAACCTTATAATATGGAAGACAACCTGACATGTAAGATGTCTCACAAATTTCTATAGGGCCTGTGGGGTACCATGGATGGTTTGGCGTCAATCGCAGCTTTGGAATAATGAGTTACAAATGCTAAAGGTAACAACCAACGAAACTGCAGTAGTATTTTCTAGCTGTTCAGCATTTTTTCCTTTAATGCAGTTTCTTATCAACAGTTTGCAGTATTCAGAACATCACAAGTTGCTTACAGATAACTTGTTTAATAATAACTGCGTTAAATATATGAGCCATAAGTGCATCTTCTACATCTTTCATAGCCACAATTAAGTCATTAAGGATCTCACATTATCTTAGTGATGTGAAGCAAAATAATTTTTAAGATTGATATAACCTATGTAACAGGTGTAGTAGTTGTACGACACAGCCGCCAGCTACTAATCGACATAAATCTGGTACTAATTTTAAGTACTCTGACATTTGAGAAGGACTATTTATACTATTCTTCCAGACACAATGAACACTGATGTCAATATACTCTGATGCCATTTCATGCACTGAGCAATTAAGGCATTGTGAAATTCCATGTGCAAATGTCAATTAAACTATTTTCACATCTTCGCCCAAGCACTTTTAACTAGGAACTTCATCAAAATAGATATAATAACCAGGAAATTCAGCAGCCTGTCTCATTCATCGCATAATGTCGTCAATGTGTTATGGAATATTTCAGTCATCCCGGATGATAACAGAAAAGTTTAACATGTTCAAAGCACACATCTAACCTATGTCTGCATGCTATTTCTCTTTCATAGGCCAGATTCTCATAGATTCACTGGAATGACAACAGCCATTGACTGCAGTATATTTACAACCTTAAGATCTGAAACAACTGGAAAATAAACAAACCCTCAACGCACTATAATGCAAATAATAGTCTTTCTATGCGAACTTTCTTAAAAAGGATGACTTCTTCATTGATAATTCGTCCGAGCTATAATATACAATTTTACGCTCTACTAAGAACAAAATACAGCAAAATACTGCCATCCGGCTACATAAGTCTAAAACTAGTCAAATATAATCTATTTCCAAAAAAATAGGTGATTATAACGTCTGTTGACGTGAGCGCGGTAACCGATGGCATTGCGCGATAACACCTGGTGTCGGCCTATATCCTCACTCTTTCAAACTAGGTGAGTGAGTTTAAACAAAAGTTCGAGGGTACAATGTGCACTACAAACCCAACGAACACAGTATTCGACGCGAAGCGACTGATCGGTCGACGATTTGATGACTCTTCAGTTCAGAGTGATATGAAGCACTGGCCCTTTGGCGTTATTAATGAGGGTGGTAAGCCTAAGATCCGTGTTGAATACAAGGGTGAGACGAAGACATTCTTCCCTGAGGAGATCTCATCGATGGTGTTGACGAAGATGAAGGAAGTGGCTGAAGCGTATTTGGGTAGAACGGTGACTGATGCAGTGGTGACAGTTCCCGCCTACTTCAACGACAGTCAACGTCAAGCTACTAAGGATGCGGGTGCGATCGCTGGTCTGAATGTGTTGAGAATCATCAACGAGCCTACTGTTGCTGCTATCGCGTATGGTCTGGACAAGAAGGTTGGTGGTGAGCGTAATGTGTTGATATTCGATTTGGGTGGTGGTACTTTTGATGTGTCTATCTTGACAATTGAAGATGGTATATTCGAGGTGAAGTCTACTGCTGGTGACACTCACTTGGGAGGTGAGGACTTTGACAACCGTTTGGTGAATCACTTTGTGCAAGAGTTCAAGCGTAAGCACAAGAAGGATATAAGTGACAATAAGCGTGCAGTTCGTCGTTTGAGAACAGCTTGTGAACGTGCTAAGCGTACACTGAGTTCAAGTACACAGGCGAACTTGGAGATTGATTCGTTGTGTGATGGTATTGACTTCTACACAGTAATCACTCGTGCTCGATTTGAGGAGTTGAATGCAGATTTGTTCCGTGGTACTTTGGAGCCGGTTGAGAAGGCTTTGAGAGACTCTAAGTTGGACAAGGCTCAGATCCATGAGATTGTGTTGGTTGGTGGTTCAACACGTATTCCTAAGATCCAGAAGATGCTTCAGGACTTTTTCAACGGTAAGGAGTTGAACAAGTCTATTAATCCTGATGAGGCTGTTGCTTATGGTGCAGCTGTGCAGGCGGCTATTCTGAGTGGTGATAAGTCTGAGGCAGTGCAAGACTTGTTGTTGCTGGATGTGGCGCCATTGTCACTGGGTCTTGAGACAGCTGGTGGTGTTATGACAGCATTGATTAAGCGTAACACGACGATCCCAACGAAGCAGACTCAGACGTTCACGACGTACTCGGACAACCAGCCAGGTGTGCTTATTCAAGTGTACGAGGGAGAACGTGCTTTGACGAAAGACAACAATTTGCTTGGTAAATTCGAGTTGTCTGGTATTCCGCCTGCTCCTCGTGGTGTTCCTCAGATTGAGGTGACATTCGACATCGACGCTAATGGTATTCTGAATGTGTCAGCTACGGACAAGAGTACTGGTAAGCAGAACAAGATAACTATCACAAATGATAAGGGTCGTTTGTCTAAGGACGATATTGAGCGTATGGTAAATGAAGCTGAGAAGTTCAAGGCTGAGGATGAGAAGCAGAGAGACCGTGTGGCTGCTAAGAACTCACTTGAGAGTTATGTGTACGCGATGAAGCAGCGAGTGGAGGGTGATGAGTTGAAGGACAAGATACCTGAGGATGACCGTAAGAAGGTATTGAGCAAGTGTGAAGAGACGATTCAATGGTTAGACCAAAATCAACAAGCAGAGAAGGATGAGTATGAGTACCACCAGAAGGAGTTGGAGGGTGTTTGTGCACCAATAATCACAAAGATGTATCAGGCAGCAGGTGGTGGGGGTATGCCGGGTGGAATGCCTGAAGGTTTTCCAGGTGCAGGTGGTGCCAGCAGCGGTGGCGGGAAAGGACCAACAATCGAGGAGGTTGACTAAGAGGCGGATAATTTTGTGTATAACTTTGATATTGATGGTATATTGAAATAAATTTGGATTGAACTTGAAGTTGTTTGGGACTTTTGATTTGTTGTTCGATGTCGTTGTGTTAGTTGTTGGTGTTAGGTGTCGTAAAGAGTCTGTGATTTTAGGGCTGCGTTATTGTTTAGATCTTGTCTTTCGTATAACTTGTCACTAGGTGTTGACTTGTGAGGTTGAGATATCGGATGCGAGAAAGTGGGCGTGTGTACGAGCGGTTGTGTTAGGGATGGTGAGCGGGAGTGTAAGAGAGTGAGCTGTGGTTGT